GATTTAAAACGGTGAAGTTACGATGAAAATATGAACTGGATGGCATAACCGTAATTAACGCGAACTATATATGAATTAAAATATTAAAATCTGTTTTTAAAACCGAGACAGGGACGGCGGGCATAAATACTAAAAAGTGGAGGGTCTCTTTAACAAATGTGCTCACGAAGGGGTATCTTCTATTTGAGGCTGTTGATCCAAGATCCGATGACTGAGCATAAATGAGAGGGAGAGAGAGGATGGGTGGTCAGCCCAAACAGGAGTCCGGCACGGTGGCCACCATGGCCGGCGACGATAAGCTCGCCGGCGATCGTCCAGATGACGATTCCGAGCGCCATTGGCCAAAAAAAAAATACCGGGAGATAAGAGTGGAAGACCGTAAGCTCACCTAGGGCTATTTCGCGGACGGAAACGAGATGTAGACGACGTGCAGCTTGACAGGGCGGACGAACGCGTTCCTGCACGTCGGCGCATGCGTGTGAGCAATAGAAGGCAAACGAGCGAGGGAGAAGGGCTAGGACGGCTTCGTAACCTCGACACAAAGCTCGGCACAGGGTCGAGAGCGGCGGCGAAACTGCACACGAGCGGGTCGACGCACGGCTGCAGCAGCAAGGGTTTACGGCGGCGATTGCAAGCTTGGCTAGGGCTGCGGCAGTTGCGAAGGAGTCGAGAAAAGGGAGACGGAGTGCAGCGCATCATATATATACGCCGTAGATACTCCAAGGAAGGAAAGGGGGAAGATCCAGAGGGATTCGGGCGGCATCAAGGAAGGTAAGCGGCAGCGTTCTTTCCATCGCGAGGGAGATGACGGCGACGGTGGCTGACACATCGAGCCCATCCAGCAGATAGTAGGCACGGGACCGAGATGGCACCAAGCAAAAGGGAAGGAAGCAGGCGCGCCTGGCACTCGGGCGATGAAGAGTGGCTGCGGGATTTCGTGCCGACTGTGTCCAACTCAAGAACAGAGAGAGGAAGGGGACAACACTGTACGGTGGGATTGGGCCACGGCTGCAGCGCTGGGCTGGATCAGGCGCCCTGGCTTGCGGCCACAGGCAAGGAAATGGCCACGGCTGGGCTTGCTGCTTAGCTGCTGGGCTGCTGGTGCAACTGCGCAAAGAGAAGCAAGGCAACCAGCGCTGGAAGCAAGCCATCAGGCCAAAGAATAGAGGAGCATATTCATTTCCCCTTGACAATTTCTGAAAACTGAATTTTCCAAAGCCTTTCAAAAGAATTTTGAATACAGAGAGATGAGAGACCAAAAACCACATAATACAAAATAAATATGCAGCAGCATGTATGCATTAGCATGTATCTAACCTTATGATTGATTTTAATTTAATAAAATTATTATTTGCCTACATTTGAATGCACGCACAATTGCATATTTAAATCAATTTAAGCTATTTCGAAATAATGCAAATTTCAGAGTGTTACACCTATATTGACAATGTTGCTGATATAGGTCTGCAGTTTCCAAACATGGTTTCATTATGTTAGTCTGGTAATTAATATAGCATTGTAGATAAAAACACCAATTTTAAAAATTGTTTAAACTCTTTTTTTTTCTGGAACAATCATCTATACATGCCTTTTTTTATAAGCATGCTATAAATTCCATCAAAATCAATTAACACTCTACCTATAGCCAAAATTTTAATTATTTTTCCTACAGATGAAATTCAACATCAACATTTCCAGATATTGACCCTTTTACTAATGTGCGTTGTTTAGCAATGTACAGATTTAGTCAGCTTCCCAAAGGTACTTATTTGTACAAGTAAGAGCCTTCAGTGCATATCTAAACATGGGAAACAAAATAATTTATAAAATGAAGCTTAAGAAAATAACCAATAAGAAAACAATAAAAATAAAGGAAAAATCTAAGAGCCATTGGTGCAGATCTAAAAAAGCAGCAACCATATGAACTAAATGGAGTCCCAGGCCAAGGCTGTCTATCAGTCACATTGAATAAGATGTTGAACTTAAAAAAGTATAGAATGAAGATTATCTATATGAACTCAAAGCAGGATCAATGTATGAGGAATTTAAAACTAATCACATGCATTAGCAAAAATTTGGAATTTAAAAGCTAGAATGAAGATTGAATATAATAGGTAACATAAAGTTGTTTATAAAGTGCAAGAAGCAACTAAAGGCCACTGAAGAATAAATGGATCAGCAAGAAGCAATGACAGATTGCCCAGTACCTCACTAGAACCGATTATCAGCTTATATCTTTCCTCATTAAAAAAGGATGTGCATAGATTTATCACAGGCATTAAAGGATAGGAAACAAAAAAAACTTAGCCTTAGAAAATAGTTACCAAGTCAATAAGTAAATCATCATTGCACACATGTGTGTAACCTCAGTAATAGTTACTAGAATTTATGATTACATCATCATTGCACATGACCATAGCCTCAGTCTAATTAACATATTAAGTCATCATGCCATCATAGAAAAGAGAAAACACTCAGATTAAACACAGTTATCATCGGGATTGACATCACAGGGAATGGACAATACTAATAAATAAGAAGACACCATAGGCAATGGATCAATGCTCGGATTAAAAACAACCATTACAGACGTAGACATGTGCTTGGTTTATAAAAATCATCAGAATATAATCAATCGTCATTGGCATGGACATGTGCTCAGATTTATATAGGAAACATATTTCAGTAATGGATATGTGCTTAGTATAACCATTTTTCATTAACAAATTCATCTCGAGCTTGAGGAATCAGTGAGAGAGGGAGATAAGATTGGCAGCCGCCAACCGTTGTGGGAAAACCAGGTTGAGCTACGAAAACTCCAAACCTCAATGGCATATCAACACAAAATAACTATAGGAAAGACAGGGGGAAAAGGACAATGTCCATGTTACCACGAGATCTCTAGAAACAAGGTTACAGGGGTGTGTGGGAGGGGACATTTCAGTTTGTTAGGCAAGAAGAGGCAGAGCAGAAATCCAACACAAAATCAAGGTGGGGGACGGATCTGAAGGGAGAGCGAAGTGAAAATCCAAATCCTGTGCAAAATCAAGAGGTGTAAATCCTATGCAAAATCAAGAGGTGCGACGAAATCTCCATATACTGGATTCTAACAAAGAAACAAAACATCTATTTAGCTTAACAGTTTGAACATCAGAAGCTTGTTTTTCTCATGACGTGGAGCCAGCACAAAATTGTTGTATTCCTTGTTGACATAAACGGCCTAAAAACGATATAATAAGGATCTGTCTAAACAACTGGAAATCAGGAAGAATATGTAGGAAGAAAGTTGTATTTGCGTTTACTGAAATTTGAGAAATCTAGTGAAAGATAATAACTAGTACAAAGCAGCATTTGCATTACCACATTGAATATTAAACAAAAAAACTACATAACAGATCTAAAAATAAATTGAAAGCACCATGCATAAGATCTAAAGTCAGACGCATGATAGAGGACGTCTACGAACAGTCATAGAAAAAGCATATCTAAAGAATCTAAATATTAACAAAACCAAAAAAAATATACCCGAGATAAGAGCTGTCGGTCCTTATCTATAAAGAATCAGACGGATAAACCAACAACAGGGCCAATGCATCCATTGCCTCCATCAATCACACTGAAATAAAACAAGGATAGAACATATCTAAAAACTAAGCAAAATAGTAGCATCCAGTGCAATAAAAAATAGTTGGTAATTAAAAACAAGATACGGTACTACAAGCAGCTCAAATCACACCAGCGAGGAAGAGAAACAGAGAACTAAGGAACCAAAAACTAAACAAAAAAGACAAAAACCTTAAGGAAGAGAGCTAGAGAGGTAGGGAGAGAGAGAGAGAGTCAGTGAAAGAGACGGGTGGCTTTTCTGAAGGAGAAGAAAGGGAGAGATATAGAGGAGATCGAGAGAGAGGAAGAGAGGGGTAGAGAGAGAGCATTGTCGGATCTGGATCTAAAGAAGAGAGGGAGAGTTAGAGGGAGAGAGAAGGAGAGTTAGAGAGAGAGGGAGAGAGAGACGGAGAGAGGGAGAGACACCAGTGTCGGATCTAAGGGAGAGAGGGAGAACTCGGAGGTAGAAGATGAGAGGGAGAAAAAAGGCGAGGGAGAGGGAGAAGACGGAGGTAGAAGACAACTCGGAGAGGAGAGGGAGAGGTACGGTGGGAGAGAGGGAGAGGGAGAGAGAGAGGCGGAGAGAGTGAGAGGGACGGTGGGAGAGAGAGGGAGAGGGAGGGCCAGAGGGAGGGATAAGGCAGAGGTAGAAGACGACTCGGAGAGGAGAGAGATGGAGAGAGAGAGAGAGAGGGAGGAGGAGAGACAAAGAAGAAGGGGAAGCCAGAAATCTCTATCTTCTCTATCTGTCAACTAAAAAGATCTAAATGTCATTGTCATCGCTTAATTAATCACCCCCTAGCTAATCATCCCTCCCCGTGCGCTAATCGCCCCGCCCCGCGTCCTCTATCGCGTGTTCACGTAACTGCTGCCCGCGCAACGCCTAGCTCGTCCCCGTGGCCCGCGCACGACGCCCACCTCCTTCCCTCCGCCACTACACCACAACACCAAGATTAGCGATGGACAATCTGACGCTAAAAGCGGCTACAGCGACAGACGAACTGACGCTAAAAAGTTACAGCGACAAACTTGCACAGACGTTGTAAGTCCTGTCGCTAAAAATCTTTAGCGTCAGATGATACTTTTAGCGTCAGATGGTCTGTTGCAGTGAATATTTACAGCGTCAGATAGCCTGTTGCCACTCTTTAGTGGCAGATAATCTGTTACCACACATTCACCGTCAAATCATCCAACACTCCATACATTTACAGTGACAGACTGTTCAACAGAATAATTTAATATAGAAAAAAATACAATTTTTAGCACATATCAAAACGATATTCAATGCTCATATAGTGTCCACATGTCACATGAAGATACACAAACACATATCACATGCAGCTCAATACATATAACATCCAATTTGTCTTGTACATCACATCCATCAAAGTCAAGCACTAATTGCTCTGAGATACATAAACACCATTCTTGCCACCAGTAGTAGTAACAATTATGTGCCCAGTTTTAGTCCCTTTCCCATTAATTATGGTTGCTTCAACTTCCTGCAACTGGCGTTCACGTCAAATGTTATAGCACGGTCCATTTCTCACATAATCTTGAAGAAATTACAGTAAGCCCGAAACAAGATGTCATTGCATCTTCACCTTATCATCTCTAATCTTTATCTCGTTCATCTGATCTTGCAACTTCTCCACACCAATGCTGGTGCTGGTGCTGTTCTTGTACCCAGAAGGGGCTACACCAGCTGAAGCCATCTCTGAAGAAATCCAACGTGCAGCAATTCAGCTTTGCATCAACTCCCCCAACAGCAGCAGATCTATCGGGCTACCTGTAAGTGGATTAACAAACAAATCGATCAGAGGGATGGTTCTAGATATTGCAATGGTAGCATCATTCGCAGCGGCAGAGGCTTAATGTCTAACGAGCTGAACTTTTTGTTAACAAGTAGTACAGCCCATCCCTCGAATATAGGTAAAATGTAAGAAACGAGAACAAGTTCTTCCTAGACTTGCAAACACGGCTAAGTCATGAGCCAAGCAGGCAACCGACAGAAAATAGAGCACAGAATCACCTAATAGTTGACACACATTGCAAGAACCGCTCATGGCTTATCAAAACATCGTAAAACGAAGTCATTCATGTTTACTGTACCAAAGTTTAGCCGTGGAATCGAAAGGCTTTCTTATCTTGACCCTCCTCTCTAAACATATAAAGCCAGACTGGCAGATACTCATAAAGATACAGATGCTATGTTCATCCGCAAAGCAAAGCTTCCCCCTTTTAAATGGTCTAACTTAGAATGGAAGAGAAAAAAAAGCTCGGCTGCATATGCCTCAGCAAGAACCCAAGCATATCAAGGCAACGTGCTCCTAACTCTTGGAAAGTCAAAGCAAATAATCCTAATGTAGGACCCCCTCTGAATCTGTTCAGGGGCATTTCCAAGCCTGTAACGAAGGGGAACAAGCAAATCCACAAAGAATTGACGGCTTGGGCACTAATTGATGGATTTCATTTCGCATGGAAGCCTCGCCAGAAGTAAAGTAACTCATTAGTGAATAAAATCATAAAATTCAAAGAAACGACAAATGGAAGAAGCACATATCTCAAAAGCAAAAAGGAAAAGAGGTAATACACTTTTTATTGATAGGTAGTACACTTTTTATTGATACCTTGAATCTGGAAGCAACTGATGAAAACTTGTACGAGGATCGTATAGATTCTTCTGGCAATGAAGTGAAAAGTCCAGAAACAAATGGGCACCTTGAAGATGATAGAAGATTGCAGTGCTCTGCAACAATATAATCTCGGTTCTTTTCCAGAAAAGAATCTGTTTGATACGTGACCTGCAAACAGTTATATGTTATTATTATAAACTAGAATAATAATTAATGACAATACCTGGTAGTCCTGGGCTCCTGGCTTACCTTCCCAGCATAGTGTGAGATGGTAAAATCTGTTTCTGAGAATTTTGTCTTCTCAAGCCTAGGATGGGAAGAGAAGTTTCTGAACATCTTCGTCGCAAAGGTCTCATGCGTAGATTTGGGAAACATGCTGTAAATGAGCAAACCATAGCTGAGGACAGGGATTTATTTTATATATAAATATTATATGTTCCAGGAGAAACAAACAGGCAGCTTACCAAGCTTCATCCAGCAGTGCAATAATTCCAATCGGTTTCTGTTTCAAGGACATAGGATACAATTAATTTCAGTTTAAAAATGTTTTCCAGAGCATCCCGGTCAGACAAAGCAAGTAAAAGAGGTCACAGGTCTATCCCCAGACTCCATAGTTTCAGCCATGGCTAAGGGGGTTAAAATGAAACAAAAAATGCCTTAAAGTAAGCATGACCTAATGAATAAAGTAATAGACTTAGTAGTCATGCTAAGTACAGCTTACACTACTGATGTTGCAAATATTGACAGCATGCTTAAAGATTCTTGCTCAAATACCTGACAAAGTAAGCATATATTATCTATATGTTTTTATGTTTTTGGGCAACAGGACACCAGAACTTTGCATTTAGGAAACAGCAACATGTTGCGCCCATTACATAAACCAGAGTACTAACAACCATTCTAAAGCCTACAGTTGTATAATCTTAAAATAAAGGTAGATATTGACTTCACCAATCATAACCCTTGCATGCAATTACATCCTGCACAGTTCAAACCTATACCACTAAATGACCAGGAGAAAAAAAAAACACCAAAAATGGATACAGCACAAGCGACATGAAAATTTGTCAACTATGCACAAGAAAAGAAAATGAGGCAACATTAGTGGGTTAAACAGAACTCAACATGGAGGACACCACAAATGGCACATCGGCACTGGCAGTTAACACACGTGCAAAACAATATCAACATAAAGTTATTTGCTCAAGGCAGAAGAGCACCAATCTATCCCAGCACTGCAGGTGCGAGACAAGCGCGCAACAGAGGCTCAAAAATTGATAAAAACTTGCAACAGGACAATTTAATGCAAGCGCAAACCACTATATGTGAAGTGATGCAAAATAATTATTATATATGTAAACATAGCTCTCAGTACAACAAATCAAGGTCACACAGCCTAGATCACTCAGCCTATGTCAATGAATAAAGGTACATAAACAACCTTTTCAATCAAATCCAGCACATCCTGATTGTCAATAAACTCAATGTAGCTCCAATTAATTTCCTCGCTTTTGTACTCCTCCTGTTCCATCTTGAATACATGCTAAGAGAAGGCATTTATAGCATCTAGTGTTAAGAGAAGTAAATTAAAAAAAACTTCTAAATCCGACAGACAAATACAGTGCATACCTCATTAAAGTGTTGCTGAAGTTTTTCATTTGCAAAGTTGATGCAGAACTGTTCAAAGCTGCACAGGTAAATCAAGGAGCAGCGTCAAACCTAGCTAGCATTACAAAATTAGTATCTCAATGTGATGGCTAATAAATGCATAATTTACAAACGTTTCACCAAACTGTAGTAAAAACATGCTAAATGCATGCACGCACACAAGTTACAATGTATGTTTCAAGATAATTCAATTATATTGCTAATAAATAGAGTACATGACCTTGCACAGAATGCTGTAAATAAACAGATAACTAGGCTCTTTACCTTCTAAAGGTACAGTTCATCCGATCCATATGAAATATTAGTGCATTGCTATAAGTGAAAATGAAATAAATAAATAAATAGCGGGCAATCTATTAACCTGTTGTTTTTTAAGCTTTCAAAGCCATAGATATCTATGCTTGTGCTCTAAATTTCATTACCCAACCGATTCAATTTAACTAAACAGCTTTTGCTTGCTAATGAGGCCCGGCATCTGAAAATAATACTACTGTTCTTTAACCATGGAACAGACTAGTATAACAATTTTTTTCACTTAAGTTTTTTACTTTTATAACCATGGAATCAGAAAGTGTAGACAAGTTATGTAAAACTGAAGTACAGTATGAGTTATCATCTAAAGCACTAGGCCTCATTTGCGCCTAAGTGTGACAAATGCCTCTAACCAATTTAACTTTCAGTCAAGTTTAAATTTCAGCAGTAAATTATTCCATCAACTAAGAGAAACATGCCTCTAGTTTGTGCCCAGTAATCAAAACTCTAGTAAATATGTACCCATAAATGATGCACCCATAAGAATTTTAAAGCATGGAACGTATATGAAACCAAAAGAATGCAGGAAGACAAGAAGATTACAAGGGCCACCATTTGTTGGTGTAGTTGTCTTGTTTATAATTGAATGAGCTGCATCATGTCTATGGGGGACCAAGCTCTCACCAGTTCCAACTTGAAGTAAATATGCACTCATGAGAGCTACAAAACATGGAACATATTTAAAATCAATTATGCCTGCTTGTAACACTGGAAAACAATAATCTCTTAATATTACTAAATATATCAAGGCCTTGGTAATTGTAGGATGATCTCTTAAACTTAGACATGCATGCTGGATGAGACTTGTCCTATAAAGCTTTGTAATTTCAAGGTACAGAGTATTGTATGCTTCCTCAACGGTTCTCAGCCAGGATGATCTCTTGTTTCAGCTTTAGGCAGGATGAAAGAAACAAGGCCCTTAGGCAGGATGAAAGTATTGTATGCTGTTTCAGCCTGAACTCAACCATACGGCAGGCTAGTCCACATTTGAAAATTTTGGTCAGTTTTCATTGAATGATTACCATAAGTCTTACAAGCTAAAAGTTTACGACAATTAAACATCATAATTCATTGGTTCTCAGCCAACATCCAACTTTCAATGTTCCTCAACGGTTGAACATTCCTTCCCAGACATGTACTCATGTATTAGAGAATGGAAAATTATTGATATTTTTTTCCTGGTGACCATAACAGCTACATGAACTGCCGCAGGGACCAAACCAACCAAACAAAGAAAAAATAACAGTAGTTTGATTGCTGAAAGTCACCATCTATGTACTATGTACATCAAATGTCCTGACCAAACCAACCAAACAGTAGTTGTAACATCCTAAAATTTGCATTCTTTTAAAATTAGTAAATATGATTTATTTAAGCAAATGTGTGTGCATTAAAAGACAGGGAAATAATAAATTTTGTGGAATTAAAATTTAAAAATAAGTTTAGAAACTTTTTGATGCATACATGCTGCTGCATATCATTTTGTGAATGCTTGGAATTTGTTAAAGATTTCAAAAAGAATTGAAAGTTGAATTTAAAAAGGGTTTTGGAAAATAGAAGAAATAGAAAAGGAAAGAATCATTTTTCCTCTCCTTTCTTGAAATCGGCCACTGGCCCCCTCCCCCCTTCCCCGCTTCGCCCAAAGACCGCAGCCTCAGCCTCTCCCTTTCCCGCCAACTCATTGCCCAGCCAAGGCTTTGCTTTCGCCCAAAGAAGCCCCATTGCCCACTCGGGCGCCCCATGTTAGGTTGCACAGGTTTGCTACCACCAACCACACCGCTGGCCCCACACTGTCGGCGCTCCCTCCTCCTTCATAACCCTTGCCGCCCAACAAAGTCCGCAGAAGCAACCGCCTCCTCGCCCCCGTCTTGCGCCATCGTGGGAGCGTCGCCCAGCGCCCTTGCCTCTACAAAAAGGAAGCCGAGGCCATCCCGCACCCTCTGCTGCTATTCCCGCTCCCTCTCGCATCGCTGCGTGCCGAGAGAACCACCACCGCCTCGAGGTCGCCGGGATCCACCGTCCGCCCTCACGCGTGAACCGCCGACTCCGAGCCGCCCGTCGACCCTATTTCTCCCATTTGTGAGCCTCACCGTTCTCCCTCTCTCTCCCGTTCAATTTATTTCTCGTTTTGTGGTTTGTATGGCCTTGTCATGCGCGCCGAAGCTCCTTGCCGCCGCCATGTCCGCCACCTTGTCGGCCGCGTCCTCCGGCCCAGATCGCCCCACGTGTGTTCGCTTCTCCCCTCTCTCTCCCGGTGCTCACGGTTCATCGAACCGTGGACCGTGGCCCCCGAACCGTGCACACCGGCGAGCTTCACGCCGCCGGCCATGGAGAGCCACCGCGGGAGCTACTGTTCCGGCCACCTTTTCTTTCTCTCTCCCCCGGATCGATTTCTGGCCGTTCATTTCAAATCCGACGGCTCACGTTAGAAGATACCCCTTCGCGGGTGATTATGCTAAAGAGCCCCTCGGTTTTCAGAAAATAGAACCCGCACAGTCCCTAGCGCACTTCGCTGATTACGCTTTCTCATTTTGAAAACGTAAAGTGCACTGTTCTTGTTCAAAATACGTTTTCAGTATTTACAGAAATGCCATTTGAACTGTTTCGCTTATAAAATTGTCGTTTTAGCTCCGAATTGATCCATTCAAATCGCGTTAGCTTCGTAATTTCATAAGCTACATGTTAGAACTACTGTTAGTCAAGTTTGGAACTTTTTAAATTCATGGTTAGATTTAATTAAATATATTGCTATAGGAAAACCCGTTTAAATCATAACTTTCGCATTTTAGCTCCATTTTTCGTGAACTTCGCATTGACGTGATCGTAGCGAGACGTAGATTATGTTTACAAACATTTATCTTGTTTTCAATACTGTTGGTGTACTGTTCTAATGATAGGAATGTTTGCTTTGCATGAATGCTTTTGGAATGTTGTATGTTGCCGTGTTGGTCACGTTCAGACGGTGAGGAAAACGTTGGAGACCAAGAATTCTTCGACGACCAGCAGGACCAGCACGAGTTTGTGAACCAAGGCAAGTATAACATGGGCCTACCTTGATGTCCTATTTCACTTTAATCAATTACTCATGTGCATGTGTCTAATTTTGATAACCCTAAGGACATTCTAGACATTTGATGACTTGTTCCCTTGACTCCTATTTGGTAATTGCATATGGGTAGAATGCTAGTGCTCTAACTGAACATGATCTACATGATGATGAATGAATCTAAGGAACTAAAAGTATAACCTGATTTATAACAACCGTTCCATAGGGCAAAGGTGCAAATGACTGTTGATCATGTTGCACTCGGCCCTCCATAAGGACTTATCTATCGGCAAAAGCTGGGACTGACAGTGCAACCGTGAGAGTCATATGGCTCTGACTTTAGCTCAGTAATAGGACCTTTTCTAGCTAGTTAGAGGTTACCTTTTTGGCGTAAATGGGGCTTGCCACGTTGGATATAGGACTGCCTCTGTTCCTATGTGTATAGCCGCGATGGATGTGTGCCATAGGAAAGGGGGGTTCCTACATCTGCCTGCCAAGGAAACCTAGCGGCCCTAACTTGTTAGAGAAACCTATGAAATGGCTTCATAGTGTACCCCGCCCGCTCACCTTGGCAGTGATATAGGAGTAATTAACCCGGGCATATGGGGATCACGACTCGCGGTGAATGTGCACCACCTCTGCAGAGGGTAACAAACTGTTATAACAGCCGTGCTCACGGTCACGAGCGGCCCGGAAAACTCACAGAATAACTGGATACTTGATGATGTTCAATTAAGATGTTCTATGATGGTATACTATACACTTTACGTTGATATATGTTCTTATGGGATTAAATGGGAGCTTAAGCATAACTTGATAATACTTGATAATAAAATCTTGACTTACTAAAAGTGCTAACTGCAGTAAACCAGTGTCAACCTTTTTGAGCCTCATGAATCCCCATGTTATCTTGTTAAGTACGGGAAGTACTTACGCTTGTTTATTTTCTTTATTTGGATAAAAATCCTGGATGGGTAACAGATGACAACGGGTATGAGGATTTCCCCGAGGATTATTAGGCTTGTGGTCAACCAGTTGACCTTCCCTGTGATGGTGTTCCACGAGAGTGTTATCCTTTACTATTCCGATGTGTTGTGTAAGACTACTTAATGTTATTATTTGTGATGTAAGAGACACCGTGATGATACTTTATGGGATTTGTCGACTTGTGTGTGTGACTGATTCCTGGGCACACATGAGTATTTTGCATTCAATTTTATCCTTAAAATTGGGTGTGACAGTAGTGTATTGACCACTCAATACACTACTGCACTACTGTTTGGTTGGTTGGTGTCATAATCTATGTACATCAAATGTCAAGATTGACCACTCAATACACTAACAATCACTTGTGATACCAAAGCAAGAGGGTTCTAGAAATAGAAAAGGGTATAAAGAATATAAACATGCAAACCATCAGATAAGGTTTCAAAATGAAAATGAATGGACAGTTGTTTGATTGCTGATGTGGGAAGTGGGAATGGGAATTATTGGCAGAGGTTAAT